CAAAAATGGGACACCCTAAAAATTGGGCACCCCAAAAACGGGACACCCCAAAAATGGGGGAGCCCAAATCCTGGGCACCCCAAAAACTGGGGCACCCCAAAACTGGGGCACCCTAAAAATGGGGCACCCTAAAAATGGAGGGGGGGCAAAAATCGGGAGGACCCCAAAAATGGGGCACTCCAAAACCGGGGACACCTCAAAAATGGGGCACCCTAAAAATTGGGCACCCCAAAAACGGGACAGCCCAAATCCTGGGCACCCCAAAAATGGGGCACCCCAAAAACGGGACACCCGAAAAATGCGGGAGCCCAAATCCTGGGCACCCCAAAAATGGGGCACCCTAAAAATGGGGGGACCCCAAAAACGGGGGGACCCCAAAACTGGCCATTTTGGGCCCCCCCAGGTTGGTTTTTGGGGGGTGAGGGTTCCTAATTTGGGGCTCCTCCCCCCCGTTCCCAATTCCCCAGAGCTGCCACATCGAGGAGGGGGAGGAGGAAGAGAAGGAGGAAGAGGAGAAGGAAGAGGAAGAAGCCGAGGATTCCTTTGAGGTGTGGAGGGGGGGACCCCAAAAACCCCCTGACCCCCCCCTGTGACCCCTCCTGACCCCTGTGATCCCCCATGACCTCCATGACCCCTGTGACCTCTGTGATGTCCCCAATGTCCCCAGGAGAAGGAGAAGCAGAAGCTGCTGTGACCCCCATGACCCCCCAAATCCCTGTGACCCCTCCTGACCCCTGTGACCCCTCCTGACCTCCATGACCCCAGTGACCCCTCTCTGACCCCTGTGACCCCTGTGTGACCCCCAGGAGAAGGAGATGGAGAAGCAGAAGCTGCTGTCGCAGCAGGCCCGGCTGCACACGCGAGGAGCGGCCGAGATGGTGCTGCAGATGATCAGCGCCTGCAAGGGTGAGTGACCATGAGTGACCGCTGAGTGACCACTGAGTGACCCTGAGTGACCACTGACCAGTGAGTGATCACTGAGTGACCAGTGAGTGACCAATGAGTGACCACGAGTGACCACTGAGTGACCAATGAGTGACCAGTGAGTGACCAATGAGTAACCACGAGTGACCACTGAGTGACCAGTGAGGGACCAATAGTGACCCTGAGTGACCAATGAGTGACCAATGAGTGACCCTGAGTGACCACTGAGTGATCACTGAAGAGTGAGTGATCACTGAGTGACCAATGAGTGACCACAAGTGACCACTGACCAGTGAGTGACCCTGAGTAACCCCTGAGTGACCACGAGTGACCCTGAGTGACCAATGAGTGACCACTAAGTGACCAATGAGTGACCACTGACCAGTGAGTGATCACTGAGTGACCAATGAGTGACCACAAGTGACCACTGACCAGTGAGTGACCCTGAGTAACCCCTGAGTGACCACGGAGTGACCAATGAGTGACCAGTGAGTGACCAATGAGTGACCAATGAGTGACCACGAGTGACCAATGAGTGACCACTGAGTGACCCTGAGTGACCACTGACCCTGAGTGACCACTGACCAGTGAGTGACCAGTGAGTGACCAATGAGTGACCAGTGAGTGACCAGTGAGTGACGAATGAGTGACCACTGACCAGTGAGTGACCACTGAGTGACCAATGAGTGACTGATAGTGACCCCGTGGTGACCCCATGGTGACGCCTTTGGTGACCCCTTGGTGACCCCACGGTGACCCCTTGGTGACCGCGGTGTCACCGTTGTGTCCCCAGGTGAGCGGGGGGCCATGGTCTCCTCCACGCTCAAGTTGGGCATCTCCATCCTCAACGGGGGCAACGCCGA